CACACACACACACACACACACACACACACACACACACACACACACACACACACACACACACACACACACACCACACACACACACACACACGGACACGGACACACACACACACCATCGCACAATCACACACACCATCGTGCAACCACACACACACACATGCACACACGCACACTCACCAGTCTCTAACAGAGACCACTTGGGAGAGATCAGTGCCAGGCTTCTGTTTTTCAATTTCTCTGGCAATATTCTGAATCTCTTGGCTGACATCCTCCAACATCTTGGCGGTGGCCTCATCCAGGCCATTATAAAACAGAGGCTTCTCGGCCAGCGGTTTACCGTCCCAGTCGTGCCACCTGCCATACATGATGGTGGTGTGGAGGTAAGAGTTGATTGCAATCAGTGTAGTGCCCAGCAGGTGTCCCTTGCATATCAATGTAGGTCGGTTACCTGCAAGGAACAGAGGCTAAAACATAATAATAATGAATATTATTATAACTAAGATGAAGACATTATATAACAAAGTAAAACAATTTTATATCTGCTACTATAATTGACAGAGGTAAAGACACATTTTTTAACAATGTATAACAATGTATACTGTTATAACTAAGGTAAAAATATTATATAACAATGTATGAAACAAATTATATAACATGAACTAACAATGTATTATTTGAGGTAAAAACATTATATAACAAGGCAGCAAAGCTGTCAAATGTACAGACAAAAAACATGAAATAACTATGCACAAAATAGGCTACTGTCAATTCTGATGCAAAACTTTAAAGTACATTATGTTTAACTGCAACTTCAACATCAAATTTTAATTATGCTCAACAGGTAATANGTGCTGCATATATGCTGAAAAAAGTGAAAAAACAGCATAAATTCCCTAAAAGTGACCCGATCATGCTGATTTTCGAACTTGACCTGCGTATTATGAATATTCATCAGTTCTGCAAGTTTCAAGTCAAAAGGTAAAATGGTTTTCCACTTATCGTGTTATCGGTAAAAGTGCACGGCGACGGCGACGACGGCGACGACAGCGACGACGGCGACGGCGACGACAGACGCAGATGATGGCTATATGTACAGACACATCTGTGTCTGTACATAAAAATGTATGAAATGAATTATATAACATGAACTAATAATGTATTATTTGTATAATATAGCACGCTGAGGCTGAGAGATCAGTGGAAAAAAGTCAAAGCCAATGTGAGTCCCCAGTGATTTGTGAAGTGCAGGGTGAGCTCGTGCATGGACACAAAAACAGGCATCCAATGATATTAAACCACAAAAATTAATCAGAATTTTACCAATTTATTATTTTACTTTAATGATTGATTTTTGTTTCCTGTAAAAAAGCTGCTAATAAGGATGTATGTTATTGTGGGAGAAAATTATGAAACATAAGCTTAAATCTGTTCTTTTATCCAGGACTGACCCTGGTCAATGATAATTTTACATGAATTCAGAGAAATCCCCTGCTGACAAACAATGTACAGGTAATTATACCACTCTGTACTTACCTGACTTTCTGAGTCTTAGTAACAAATACTAGCACTGACACAAGCTTTGTTCTGATCTAACCCTCTTAAAGCCTCTTATTTATATTAAGTATGAAACACTGTATCTTTCAAGATAGGACTTTGATTGCATATATGGTAGAGCGATAATTATGGCCACAGCAATCATCAACTGATGGATTTTCAGAATTCTTAGTCCAGATGCAGATTAAACATAGCATCCTTCTTGACAGCACTTTAGCTGGTCCATGATGCTACATCTGAGCAATGACATCAAATTGGCCATTCAATTGACAAGATTTTCACACCCAGGTATAGATTTTATCAATTTTAGCAAAATAGTTAAGTGAACTAGTAAAATACCTAAGCTTCCTTGTCCATAGGTGACGGCTTCCAGTGGAGAGTTTCCCAGCACCGTGGGTCCTCCCTCACCATGCATAGATCCTTTCATAAACCCCTTCACTCCCAGCACATCTACTCCCTTCCCATACTCTGTGATACGGCACGCCCACGGCAGAGACTCAAAGGACATGAGGATGCAATCGTTGGCTAATTGCTTTCCCAGGATCTCTCTCACCTGTGAAGAATTAAGAATTTTTAACATTATTTCATTTTATCAATTCCACAGATCAGTCATGGAGTCAGGACATGATGCAATAAACATGTACGTTTTGCATCTGGTTAGGAATTTTTTTCTATTTTTTTAAATCCAGGAGTTTGATAATGAAAATCAAAATGAAATTTCCCTAAATAATGTTTTGATTGCAAAACCCGAAAGTTTCGATTTTAGATAAGGGTTTGAAACATATCAGTTTTGGGGAGTAAGTGGTTGTTACATATTGTAAAATTATGTTATTACAGCTTTTGATTAATTGCCAGATATTTGAAGAAATAGAAAATAAAAGCAACTGAAAGACAGACAACTGTACCCTGTTATCGGCACTTTTCATATATATATCTAAACAAGATTTTATCTAAATGCCACTGGTTTTCATGATTATATTAGGCTAAGATAATGGAAATATAAAACTTGTGACTTTTTCACCTCAGCTTAACTCATATTAAATTTCACTGAGAACTGGGCATTAAAACTGATCACTGAAAATCCTTAATGGAGATGCCCTTTAAAATTCCATTAACTCTCCTGTCAAGTTCTCAAACTAAATTGATTAATTTAGAAATTTGCATACTAACCCTCACATGTGAATAATTAATGAGCCTTATTATATGTCATGCTATTATAATGGAGGCATTTAAAGAAAGCTATTTTACAACTGAGAAAAGACTAAATCCCCACATCATATGGCTAGCTATGTGTAACCCAGAGAGAGAAAGAGAGAGAGAGAGAACAGTGAGCAGGAAAGAGCAATACCTGCTTTTAATTGAGAAAGTAAACCTGATATAGTAGCACTTTTTCCTCTGAGAAGATCAAACCCAGGTAGAAATTAAAGCTTACAAACCTCAAACTCAAACCCAGGTGCACCAGGCATTGCTGCAATGATGGTTCCTTTCCTGCAGTACGGCTTGAGTGCCTCCAGGTACTGGCGATGTCCAAATGCCGGCACCACCAGGTAGATGATGTGGCACCCCTCCCCCGCCACCTGGCATACAATGAATTATCTTTATATCTACACACTTTTATGTCTGGACTCAGAGAAAAAAAGTAGGAAGAAATGGTATGGAGGACTACATTTGCGGTTGAAAACTGCCAAGAAAAAAAAATATTGAATTTCTGGTTCAGACATCCAAAAAAATGTCAACAGGTACAGTCTAAAATGTTGTCAACAATGGAATCAGCAGTTGCCATGAAGAAGAATTTTTTGTCATTTAAATGACATTTGGAAAATGATTTTTGCAGACAATATCAAGAGTGTATTAGAACGAATGTATTAACTAAAGGAGTACTAGTAAGACATTCTTCCCAATATTTTGAATAGTAGCTGACTAACTTTTTGGGAAGCAAACTAAAGTATTTTTTTCTTATTCAAGGCAGATTTTCAGCCACAACAAAATGTCCACTTGTGCACTCAGCTGATTTGGCTGGCCTCTCCTGCTCTAATTTCATAGGGATTGAAACTTTAAATTTATTAGAAGGCAATTTTGAAAAAAATAGAGCAGAATATGTCACAAATAAACTTAATGAATCTGATAATCAATATATTTGAGTTGTAATAACGTTTTATAAAGACAATTTTCTCTTATCTGAAAACATTCTCAATAAAAATAATAATAATAATAATAATAATAATAACAACGAAAATATCAAAATTACCTTATTTTCTTAAAATGAGAATAAAAAAATCTGCACCATCTTGTGATAAACTTCATGGCTACCCTACCTTGGGGTCTTTGGTAACCAAAGCTGGTTTGGCTTTCAGTGAAGAACCATTTTCAGTAAAATTCACAACAAAGTCATTCGTCTTCATGGTATTGGTCCACCTTTCAGCCTCGTCTGCAAACAGGGTCAGAACACGAGCCTCGACATCATCCTTGGAGCCTGCGATTCCAGCCAGGGCATGGGCGCCATTGCCTCCCCCACAGATGACAACCGCCAGTTTGTTGCTACCCATTCTTGTCTGGAAATATACAGGATAATTCTGCAGAACTGAAAAAGATGATATAGAATAATTCTTTACTTAGGCCCCATTCAGAATAGGGGACTAACTAGTCTGAGGGTCAAATATGGCCGACCCACTTGCACACTTCCCCATGGGATATCTATTCACTGTCTATTAACGGATTAGACTGCAAGCTTTGTAGTGGGTGGCCATATTTAAACCTTGGACTTGTTAGTCCCTTATTCTGAATGGGGCCTAAGAGACTAAGTACACAAAGGGTGGACCGAAACGGCATGTTTGACCGATGTTATTTAGTCTCTAAGTAAATAATAATTATATTTTATTGTCCTATCTAGAGACCACAAAAAAAATGCTTTTAAATACATAAAACTGAACATGTAGAGCTACAGAAAGTTGTATATATTTTAAGTACAATAATGTAGTGTGAACATGACAGAAGGCCTCTCATAGAACACATTGGTGTTATGAGGTTGAAATTGATATATGTGTGTGTGTGTGTGTGCGTGTGTGTGTGTGTGTATGTGTGAGAGGGAGAGAGAGAGAGGAGTTGGGGGGGGGGGGACTTGTGACCCTTCAACTTCAATGTCAAATAAAAAATTGCAAAACAAACAAACAAACAAACAAACAAAAAACAAATTACAGACTTCTCTTTTAACAACTTCTATGACATGGTATCGTTTAAGAAAACAAAATCTGCCATTTCCAGGCAAGGCGAGTCGAGGCATCTGCCACAGCACAAACTAATTTATACTTCAATTCAGAAAAACATTCCCTGGCATGTGAATTCCTTATAATTACTAATTAGTGAGGCAAGCTTCCCAGAATTTAGCATCTAGGGGGGTGCTGGAATGGTATTAACAGTACTTCCTAGAATCTCAATCTCCTTCCACTTTTCATAATATTTCCAAGAAAAATTGAAATGTAGCAGAAGTTGACGTAATGAGATTTTCAGCAAAGTGGAAGCTGTCAGCCCCTGGCTCTGTAGTGATGATAAAATACAGAAATGCAGCAATACTCTCTGAAATACGTCACTATTTCAATTTGCACTTTACATTTCTTGTGTTTTTTTCTTGACATTTCTCATTTTTAAAATGATCCCAACAACAGAGTTACTTTTCACATTCACAAGCATGCTTCATGGGAAGTCATAGAAATATTAAGTGGCTCCTCCGGCCATAATTAAAGCATACAGTCACTCTAATTATCAGTTTCAAAAGCAAGCAAAATAATAACCAATGGAGGAAACTTCTGGTCTACTTGTGTAGAGTGCATACAGTAGAGTTCATACAGGCTAGGTGAACTGAGGATGCCCTATGATGCCCACATGATATCGATCAACAAGAATGCTGCCATTTATAAGACAATTCTTCTTTAGAAGAAGAGAACTTCTGCACACAGTACATGCAGAGAGAGCGCAATAAGACAACATTTTAAAGACGGCCGGGTCTCACCTCAAAATATCATTTGATTAAGCCAATCTTTTTAATTGTGTAATTTCCTCTCAAGAAACATGGTTAGTGATCACTTTAGCTGGCCAGGTGCTTATATTAGAGAGTTTCCAGTGCTGATGGGATACAATGGCAAGATTGTTACATGTATGTAAATGTGGCTAGTAACCCGCTATCTCTTTTCACATTCTGGTAAGTGTTCTGACATGCCACCCTTTCCCATGATAATAATTATACTGGATGACTACTAGTAAAAGCATTCACTCATTCTTCAATCATTATTAGCAGATATTACCCTGAGTGTCAGAGCAACGTAAAAGCTAGCTTGTTAAATATACCATGTGATGGAGTCGCTTTTACTAGCTCTGACGAACAGTGACAATCTGAGGGCGTTCTTCTTCAAAATTTTGCCTGGGGCGCTACCATATTTGGAAGTCACACGTCACAGCTGTGTCCGCCTGGATCCATATTTGGAAGTCATAAGTCTTGTACGTCACAGGTTTGGCCGCCTGGAGCTGCCTTTCCCGCCTTGCGCTGAAGTTATCTCGTGCAGACGAGACAAAAAGGAAAATGCCTGACGCGGAGTTGGAAGTTTGAATTGAAAATATCTTGCAGTCGAAGGTCAGTGCCACAATACAAGCAACATTCTGCTTTAAAAACTGTTTTTGGTGTAGCCATTGCGCAGCCCTTATAGTGGTATCGGGCATACAGTGTAGCTGTCAAATTTGGCACACGGCAAGCACGTGTATTGTGCACGTGCATATCTCAGGACTAAATGTTCGTTGATAAGCAAAAAATACAAAAACATTGGATATATCTTTTCTTTTCGAAGAATATATTTTTTTTTCACTTTACATCTTAAATACAGCAAATAAAATTAAATAGAGCAGAATTAAATCTGTTTTACGTTTCATTTTGGTCTGATGACATTCAACTGCAGATTCACTGCGGAGAAGTTCTATTTGATTGACGGAAGTGTAACATGGCCACTGTTCGCTAGAGCCGGTATTGCTGATGTGGGTTATATATGAAATCAAGATCGAGCTGGCAATACCGGAATCTAGAACCTAGGGTAGCAGATATTGGAGAAAACAGCAATGCCTAACTTAGAGACCTGGGCCTAAACAACTTGAAAGCATTGCGACCGAGCACAAGCGTCTCGATTCCATAACTCGCCCATACTCGCGCCATATATATAATACATGTGATATCGCTATTTGCAATACGCGATGCTTTCGAGTTACCGGGCCTTGCACTTAATTCACTGGTTGGGGTTGACTGGGTACATGAGCACTCCACCTGGTCTCCCTATATATAATAATTACCAGAGACCTCTCAAGCATCTGTATAGCTGACCTGCATAGAATTGGTATGGTAAACAGCCCTATTTTTCAGCTCTCAAGGTCGGAGAAGCCACTGACAGGGAGCATATGTCTATGGAGCATTGTGTCTCCATGACATTTAGCTCAAATCTGACCCGATTCAGAGCACATCGTAAACTTTACCATAAACTTTACCGGAGCATAACACTCACATCCAGCAGCAATTGCCAGCATACTAGTACTACGTAGTAACTGCCTTCAATGCACTGTGACATTTTGCTGCAACCTAAGTACAAGTTTTATGCCTAGAAACAAGGGTGCATTCCCAGAGATTTAGATCGATCCAGAGATTTAGATTTAGATCAACCTAACTCCCTGGGGGTTCACGCTAAATTGCAGTCAGCCGAGCGCGCACCATAGTTAATTATCCCCTTACAGCTTTTAGTAGGTGGGACAGACGCTTAAGCCGGCTAAGCTGACAGTAATCTAGTGAGACTCCCCAGAAGGATAGATCAATCTAAAATATATGGGAATGGGGTCTAATATTCATATAAACTTTAAGTACATAGTATACTGCTGTAACGTTTGGCACAAAGGCAAGTAGTCACAATTTAATAGGAAACTAGACTTGAGCTTTTATAAAACCTGGTAAAGTTAAAAATAATAATAACTTTATGTATACTTCAAGTCTGGCTTCAGATGAAATAATTATAATGGAATGCTACAAAGTACCCAGCCAGCTTAGTTTTCATTTTCATTACACTTATTAATTTAATTCAACTGATGAAAAAAAAAAAGCAAAATCCCATGGAATCCCAGCTAGCCTGCTTCTTACCCAATCATCCTAAGAAAAAGCCATCAAATAATCAGTCCAGAACTTTCTGAGTTAGGCTATTAACTAGTTAAACCAAAAATGGGCAAACTATTAACTGCTTGGTGGAAGTATTTTTGACAGAGGTAATGAGGTGTAAACCTGTCCCCTCCTTTACCTTTGATGCCCCTCTGTCTGCTCTTCGTCCGGCAGACTGCCGAGTATCTCATCTTATTCACAGGTAGACAGGTAAATAATACTGCAAAGTTGTGTGTTCACACAGATTTATTTGGGAGGCACTCTCTCAGAACGATTGCTTCTTGAATTAATTCTGTTCCGATATTACAAGGGGTGGATTGCATTACCCCATGCTGATAACAAGCCAGACGTACCTACACAATCTGATCCCTCTAAAACAAGACAACATGAGCAGTAGGATGATAACTGGGCCAAACCTGTCATGGAATGAGATCACTCCAAATGCCGTTTTGTGCGAACAGGGCAGAAATCTTATCATAAATCATTAAAGCTCACAGTTGCGGACCACATATATAAACTGCCAGTGAGGGAAAGATGGAGAGTTATGGTCTAACTAAAGGGAGTGTTTAGCTAAGGCCCAGTTATCCACAACTCTAGAAAGTCTGTTAACTGTTGTGTCATATGTTTTTAGAAAAACCTGCAGCAAAACACCAAAATTAATAAACATAATTATTTTATCCAATTAACATCGTCATGCAAATCAACAGAGTTTTTAAACATGCTAAAAAGATTAACAAGGCAGGAAATACCCAGAAGTGTTTGATTTTGTTATGAAACAAACAAGCATGCATAGTGAGAAAATTTGCATCACTACCTGATAAAGAATAAAAACTTTCACTACATAAGCAAGACTATGGAAATTTTCTCCACCTACTCTGCCCCCCCCCCACACACACACACATACACACACACACACACACACATACACACACATACCGGTACTTAAATTAGATGGAAGCATAGCAACAGTGTAATCCCTCCCTCCCTCCCTCGATCTCTCCCTTCTCTTTCTCTTTAACTCAGAACACATACAAAGATATGTGGTTTGGTAAGTGTATCAGATAAAAANTAGGGGGGGCACACGGGGGGGGGGGGAGCACCTTCAAGGGGGAGTTGTTCTACTTGTTCATAATGTAAAGTGCTTTTAGAACAACTTTAAAGATGAAGCATTCTGATTTACACACATACACACTACTAGTATGGTAATAGTACAGCAATTAAATCATTGAATTAGTTTGTCTCTAGCACTTCTGAGTGCTTTCCCTTTTTCTGCCCCCGTTTTGGATACTCACACTTTATGAGTTATGCAAGATAAAGCTGAAACGTGAGTGAGAGTGCTAGACACAGAAAACATGGCCTTTACTTCTTTAACAGACAACTGAATTACTTACAGAACCCAAAGTGAAAGAACAGAAAGACGAGTGCAGACCAAAGCAATGTACACTTGTTGTAGGAGATACTGTTACTTCTCGCGTCTCAAATGCCGCTGTTAAGCAAAGTTTACCTGTCTGAGTACACAGGTTCACCTGTGCTTTTCACCGGCCGTAGAGCAGCTGAAGGCTCCTCCTCTGGCTCAGGCTCACATGCGGCACTGTTGAATTAGCAGTTTTTTTAACAACAGTTAGATTATTACCCAATTTTTGTAACACTAAAAATGATTTACATGGGCAATATAAACACACAATACATTTTGGGTGGGGGTTCATAAGTGAAAGTTACAGGTTCGTTTTTAGCCTCACCTTTTCAGTGGACTGCCTGCTTCTAGGATGTGAAGAATGACCTTGGCAGAGTTTTGAGGTCAAATTGGAGTGAGCATGCGCACTATTGTTAATCAATTATCAATATCAGCAAGACCCTCAAAAATCACAGAAAAAATGGTAGCACTGACGGAAAGGCAGCAAATGGCGGATATTAAATCTCTGATCAAATTTCAAATAAGAGCGAAGAAAATGCATCTATCTTTTAGATTCGGAATCCATTTTTTTGCATTGTTTTTAATTAATCCATGACGCCCACGAACCTCAGATACTTGATATTATTTACCCACTATATTATTGAAAATATTTTTTTCATTTACTTTTTTGTTATTTTTTTTTTGTTGTTGTTGTTGATGTTGTTTAATTTTGACAACCATGAATAGCTAACATATGTAACATGAAAAACTGAATATATAATTTATTAACTTATTAATACCAGTACAACTGTACATGTTACAACGAGTTTCTTTCCCTTTCACAGAAAAAAAAACGTGAAGTAGACAATGAAAGTATTAGAAGCGGTACGTTATTTATCTGCGGCAGCAGTTGTTATACAGACTGATATGTCAATAATGCACTATAGTTAATCCAACAGACAACGGTTCTTTTCATTTTCTTTTCAATTAACATCCACATTATTCAGATCTCCCCTAGCTTCCAGGCCGGCAATTTAATAGGAGGTGTAAAAGAGGGGGAGGGGGGGGGAGGAGGGGGGTTACTGAAAAACTGAATTGTGCTCCCACAGGAAAAGATGTCCCAACTTAATTGTGAAATATGGCGAAGAACCTGGATTGAATTTTGATTCAAAGTCAACCTTTTCAGCTTAAGTGCAGATCTTTCTCCCCCCCCCCATCCCCTCCCCACCGCAAACGGTCATGTGCTATTTTATTCCAGTATTATATATATTCATGTGCCAGTATACATATGTACCGTTCTACATATATATATATATATATATATATATATATATATATATATATATATATATATGGCGAACTTGAATCATTAGAACAGACAGTTGCAACACCATTACATCCCCCGATCTCTTATCTTCTCCCGAAGCCTTCACTCTTACTTACTGCCTTTGAGGAAGCAACGGAAGACGAGGTGACAAAAATCATTTCTAGATCTAAGAAGACAGCATGCCTCCTTGACCCTATGCCGACAACACTGCTCTCCCAGATTCTCCCTGCAATCATTGGTCTCATAACTCACATTGTAAACATTTGCTTTAAAACCGGGAATTTTCCTGAATTGTTTAAGTCTGCAATTATCCGTCCACTACTGAAAAAGCCTAACCTAAATGCAGAACTCTTGCAAAATTATCGACCTGTATCTAACTTGTCATTTCTGTCTAAAGTGGTAGAGCGTGTGATCGCCACAAGATTGTTCAATCACTTAGATGCAAATAACTTGGTTGAGAAAATGCAGTCGGCATACAAGGTGAATCATAGCACCGAGTCAGCACTCCTTAGAATTAAAAATGATTTGCTATGTGCGGTCGACAGTCACTCCGCTCTGTTACTTGTTCTCTTGGACCTATTGGCCGCATTTGATACTGTTGATCATCAGGTACTGCTGTCATTTTTGGAAGAAACTGTTGGGATAAAAGATACAGCACTAAATCTTTTCCGTTCTTACCTCACAGGCAGATCACAACAAGTATGCGTGGACGGAGTTCTCTCTGAATTAGCTCAACTTGTCTTTGGTGTTCCACAAGGCAGTGTGTTAGGACCACTCATATTTTGTATTTATACTTTACCGCTTGGTGCAATCCTTCGTTTTCATGAGATTGGTTATCACATTTATGCTGATGACACTCAGCTTTACACATCCTGCAATATTAGAAACCCTGAATCATCAATTACTAAAATAGCCAACTGTATTTCTGATATAAGGGGGTGGATGATCAGAAACAAACTCAAGATCAACGACGAGAAAACTGAATTCCTAGTAATATCTCAACCACACAATAAGAACATTGCCCGCAGTCTTAGCATGTCAATAGGTGCCAGCGTGGTACAAGTCTCATCTCACGCCAAAAATCTGGGAGTTTATTTTGACAGTACATTGTCCATGAACAGGCAAATTTCCAACGTATCCAAAACATGTATGTTCAATATTAGAAACATTGGTTCCTTACGAAAACATTTAACAGACTCTTCTACAGCAACAGTTATACATGCCCTGGTTACATCGAGACTTGATTTCTGCAACTCCCTTCTTTATGGATCTTCAGAGGAACAAATCAAAGGGCTACAGCGTGTACAGAATATATCTGCTCGCCTACTGACCCGCACTCCAAAAGACAACCACATTACTCCTGTTTTAATGATGTTGCACTGGCTCCCTGTCCGAGCACGCATTATATTCAAACTTTTAACATTTGCACATGCAGCATTTTATAAACTTGCACCTTCTTATTTAAATGAGCTTGTTTCACACTACGTGCCATCAAGAAATCTCAGATCAGGTGATCACCTTCTTTTATAAGGCAAGATTAGTATCATACGGTGATAAAGCTTTTAAATTTTGCAGCACCAAAAGAATGGAATATTTTACCCATCAGTCTTAGACAAATTGTGGACCCTGGACATTTTAAAAAGGAACTAAAAACCCACCTTTTTAAACAATATTATCTTTAAATTCTTTAAAAAAAAACACTTCTTAAGAAAAACTGTTCTTAGTCATAGTTTTAAATTTCCCCTTTTTTATCCATTTTATATATCCTTTCATCTTATAACCATTAGCAATATTTTTCTTTTAATTTGAATTTTATAATTTTTGTAAAGTCTACTGAACACATGTAGGATTTTAGACTATAAATAAATATTATTTTTATTATTATTATTATTATATATATATATATATATGTACTGGCACATGTATGTACTGTATAAGGTATACTGCACTTTTATTCTCTATAGTAGCCAACATGGGAGATACATGTAACATTACATTACTTTTACAATATTACTGGAATCCACACGGTTGCTTACAAGCACTAGAGAGAGAGAGAGAGAGAGGGGGGGGGGGGGTATGACGGAGAAAAGACATTGATATAATTAATATTCCAATAAGAAGGATTTCCGTCTTGTTCGTCGTCTGGATTTCCGTTGATCTCCTCATAATTATTGGAATTATTTCACCGTGATCTGTTTTTCGCTGTTTTCGATCACCGTGATCTGTTTTTCACTGTTATCGATACCGTGCAGTATGTTTAAGCCTTCAGCTAATTGCGAGGGACAGTCAGGACAATAATGACAAGATTATCCATGCATTCCAAGAAACAAGTCTTAATTATAAACGAAAAACCAGTGCGTGATCTCGAGTCTCGGGCTTAAGATCGCAATTTAAGCGTAATTATAAGCGACTCAAACCGCGATTTCATGGCAGGAACGTACATAGCAACCTTTGGCAAAAAGGGCGGGCCATAATTTCGGGTGGGTGTGCGTTGAGTGTGGTACCAATTCAAGGATAAAGCCTGCCGAGTAAAATTGTAGTAGGCTAGGGGACATTTACTGTAAATTGTGACGTCAAGGGATGCGCGTGTGTGTGTGTGAGCGAGAGGGAGGGGTTGCTTTGCTTCTTACAGTGTTTTTTTTTTATTTTTGTAGGAAGTAGTATCAGAAGCTCGGAAGTGGGGGAGAGGGAGGGGGGGAGAGGGAGGGGGTACGTGAACTATTGTAAAAGCATTCCTTATTATACAAAGAAATGGAAAAGGATGGAAGGGGGAGGGGGGGGGGGGGAGCGACCAACAAAATATTAGGTAAACTCTCCGAAATGGCAATTAAGTATATTTTAAACTAAAAGGAAACATTGTTCCTTGCCTTTCTCAAAATTAGGAATTTTTATTCGCCCTTTGTCCTTTCATCTTATTATCTTATATAGATATATGTATTACATATAGTTTCGATTTTTTAATCAAATATTATGATTAAAAAGATAGTATTAAGTCGTTTTAAATGGGTAATATTGCTATTTTCATCTTGTTGAATGTCGTATTGGAAGCTTAATTACTTCCGTCTAACCTTGAATGTGTGGCAAGACGGCATGCATAAATCCTTGAAACAGAGAGAAAATAACCCACTCCCCTCATCCCCCATTCCACGAGACGATTCTGTTACTAGTGACAATTCAATGCTCCATACACAACCCTTGAGTAAAGCCACCCTACAATAATTATATCTATACATTGACCAAATCGCCTACCCGAAGCCTGCAATTTCAAAGATATTCCATGCGTCGCCATTATTAAGAGACATGGTGCTAGCACTTCCTTTCCTGGTAATGGCAATGACAGGCTAGAGAGGAAAACAATTAGGTTATATGCGTCATCGAAGGTAAAGAAACAGAAAACGTGCGCACTCACGCACTCTCTCACACACACACACACACGCACACACCTGCACATACAAACGTACATAGACACACATGCACACACACATACAAACATACATGAACAGGCATGCACACACAAAAACATTTACGTATCACACACTTACATATCCACATCACACACAACAACACACACACACACGCACACATACACACGTGCACGCACTCGGACAGACATACGCACACACACAGGCATACAGATACACACACGCACTTATTAAGACAACAGTGATGAACTCTTTATAAGTTAAAACACTTAATTTAATTCCGATTTTTTATTTGATTAATCTGCTTATTAAATTCATGACATTTAAGATAGGTGTGAAACAAGCCATTGAGCGTTCTAGCCTGTCCTCATCGGCGATTCACTGGCTTGGTATTGACATCAACAAACGTCGAACAATATGTTTAACAACTCCCTTTCATCCACAGTGATTTTTTAAGACATCAGTGAAATTAGTGAACTGGTTCGCATAAATAATTTCTAACATTTCTAGTTTGTGAGTATCTAAAAATTATTTTTGATTCTTTTGATTCTCCTGTCGATAAATATCTTATTGCATCAGTTTATAAATATATTCCTTGCAATTTGATTTCGAATAATAATTATAAAAAATA